CACGTCACCGGCGCCCTGGCTAGCGCCAGGCGCCCTCCACGGTGCTCCAATATTTTTAGCTACTATTTTTGGCGCCACAGGTAGGGCTGGGCACCACCTGTGGCGCCCAAATTCGCAAGTTTTCCGATTTCGTTCGTTTTGGCTCTAATTTTGCACGTTTCGCCCCCAATTGCTCCCGAATCATTCCTACACATAAAAACACTTCAAATAACATAAATCATAGCATTTAACATCCCAAATTCACGAAACAAAAGTAAAATATGAGGCGATATGCATAGAAATATATATGCTTTAAGCTAAACATCACAAGCTTTTCAGCCTGTGATTTGTTTTGTTGGATCTCATTCCTCTTATATTCAAGAAGATGAACTTAATCATAAGAAGGACAATGATCGTTTGTTTTGTGTCCTCCCCTTATCCGGGTTGGATTTTATTCTGTCATGTTTCCCATTCTTCTTGTTTCTACTTCTTCCCCTTGCTGTTGGCGATAAGCTATTCTTTTCCAATACTTCCTTCACATGTCGTTGATAAATATCTTCTAATTCACCATCACTGTAACTGGCTGGTGAGAATGCTTATAATAGACTGTTGACAACTTCATCATCTGGGTCTGTTTTTGGTTGTTGTTTTTGCTCTTCTGTTCCCCCCATCTCTACCACCGATTGGATTCCTGGGTGGTTCTTGATTTCTATCCCCACACTCGAAGAAACCATGTTCTATTCCTCTACTTGTTTTATTGCTTCCTGCCTGGTTGTTAATGTTCTCCTGTTGTTCACTGCTCTCATTGTTTGTGTCTATCTTATATTCTCCCCTATCTACCGCTTGTTCATTTTCGATCATCTGATGATTTTCTCCTGTACTTTCTGTCTCCCTTATGTTATGGTTGATGTTATTGCTTCCTCTTGGTTACTTTGCTAAATTTCTTGTGTGTTTCTCCTTCTGGTCTTCCTTTTAGGCTTGAACATGACCTTTGGCTTCTTCTTCAAACCATTTTTTGACTTTCCTTTTTTCTTCTTCCTGCTTTTGGTTCTTTCTCTCATGTTATTCCCCTCTTCTGTGCTATCATCTTTACCATTTATCTCAATACTCTTAACTTTCTTAACTTTTGTATTGTATAATTTGTTAAGCCCATGTTCTGCTATGTCTTTTCCTCCACTTGTCATTTCATCTACCTCAATTTTGTGGTTTGAGGTGGTGTTATGCTACTGGCATCCTTCCCCAATTCTTGATTACTCTGCGTTTGATTAACTGGCGCTTTCACCATACCTCTTTCTTCCTTCATTTTTTCTGCCGCTTTCATTTTCTCTATAACTCTGAATTCATCAAGGCATGCCCTAATTTCTAGGGGTGCTCAAAATCGAACCGAAATCGAAAATTGAACCGCAAAAGTGGCTTAATGACTTATTGGTATCGGATTAACAGATGGAGAACGGATTGAAATTTTATTATTAACAGCTTATCGGTTTGGGGGCGGATTCATCAATTTTCTTATCGGATAAATCGTTAACACGTTAAGAATTTTTATATTTATATATTTTATATTATATGTATATTAAATATCCCTTCCATTTATCCACTATTAGAAACCCTAAAATCTAATTTCTAATTTCCCTCACCAGCAGTCACTAGTCAGAAGTGAACTCATATATCAAAATACAACCCTCTCGCATCGTCGCTCACTCTCTACTTTCTACTCTATGAAGGTTGAGGCAACACAACAACAACAACCCTGCCGCTCTCGCCTCCCATTCTCTTCTCTAAGAATCAAGTCACCTCCTCGTTTCCTCCGTATAGCCATAGCCTGAGCTTGCTCCTACTAATATTGGATAAGATATTGGATGTTGTTGTGTTTATCTCTTTGATAGAATTTTAAGAATGGTTTTTGTGGTGTGCACTGTGTATGATTGGTGAAGAAACCATTTGCTTATATAAAGGTGAGAGCCAAGCCAAGTCTGTACTCATTTTGACAGATATAATTGCCACGTTAGGAAGTGCTATGCTAGCTAAAGAATCTGCAGACTGTGGAGCCATAAGCTTGGCTGCGTTTTAGCTACTTTTGAGGAGCTTACTGCCTTGCTCCTCAGTGTGTGAAGGTTCAAGTATGTTTGTCCATTATTGGTTGTGTCTTCGTGATACTATCAGTATGTTGAAAAAGTTTAATATATCCTGTTGTGCAGCTGTGGTATCACCCTATTACTGTGTCAGTGTGTTTCCAAAATAGGCCTCTGTAATACAAATTAAAATAGCTCGATAAACGCCCTGTTAACCGCCCAATAATAGCTAAACCGACACCAATCCGCCCGATATCTTATCGGGTGGCTAGCGGATTAATACATTTTAAAAGCCGATAATCGATAAGCCAAACCGTTAAGTATATATAGCTGCCCGATCGCCCGATAAGCAGCCCTACTAATTTCTTGCAGCGTCTACAGTATTTTGGAACGTTTTCATGTTTTAACATGTGTGTAAATCCTTTCAGCGGGGACTCATCACCCTTGTCACCTACCCAGACACTATTTAGCAATGGTTTGAGTAGATCAACTTCGACGCTTACTTTTGCCATGCTTGGTCTTGTCTTCCCTCGTGTAGCAATATCCATGTCCAAAGGGGTTCAAATTTCGCCTACTATTTGCTTCACATAGTGCCATGTGTGAAGGTGGAAAGGTAATTTAGGGAGATAAATCCAAACCGGGACTATAGGCAAATCTTCCTCCGGTTTGAAATCTGGACTCCATTTTTGAAGCTGCATCTGCTGCCCTTCAATGTCAACCGATCTCCTGTACCATGCTGTGTTAAAGTCTTCATCATTTGTAAAATCCAAAAAGACATTGTGATTATCATATACAACAATTTTCACCTAGCCTTTTAAGGGGAATTGCTCTAGAAATTGGGATCTAATTTTTTCAATTTGGGGACGGATCTTCAGGAATCTTCCCATAATCGTTCTTCTGCATTCTGCAGCCATGATTCCATAGTAGTCCCTTGTTCTGAAAATCACAGTCGGTCTTCCATTATGTGTGGTTCTTCTCGCAACCACCGATTCCTGTTCTTGCCTAGTGGGTGACGTACTGTTGTTTTTAGGGCTGGCCACTGATGTTGCATACGAGATTTTTCCATGGATTCCTTCTTGGGGTTGGCTAGCACTGGTTTGGGATCTGATTGTGGTTCCTTACTCATCAGATTGTTGCCGTCCGACTGCTCCATAAGGTGAGCGTGAGTGACAATAACATTTTCTATCAGATCTCCAAAAGTTTTCTTATATGGCGCGTGAGGCGCGTTCTACAGAGGTCTTCGAGTACTGTTTCAGTTCAATATTTTTTCCCATCATCTTACTGTATTACTTGTCTTTACAGTACTATTCTCAAGTTTGCTTATTCTAAATGCGATTCTTTCTTAAAATCAGCCCTATTTTCGCATAAACAATTAACACAATGTCCCGAGTTATTAATATTTCCAGCAAATCTTACCATCGCACATCATTAATGTAATCTCATTATGGAAAAGGGCCTAAACTACTCATATTGATTGCTAAATGGTCTACAGATGCCTTCTATCAAACCATTTGTCCGAAAAAACATACGATGTTATTTCCATTATCAAAATTGCACCATGATAATAGAACATGTGAGGCTTTCATTAAATGATGTGGCAAATTTTCAGTGGGCCACGTGGCAATGTGGGGCTAAACCAAAAATTTGATTTTTTTCCGAACCATTTACCTGATCCAACCCAAAGTTATGTTAGAGTGAGAAGCTGTGACAGAAGAGGTGGAGCGAGAAGGGGAAGACATCTTGTTGTAAGCAAATTCATCGACGCAGTAGATGGAGAAAGCGACGACGGCGATGCCAAGGCTAGGGAAAGCATGGCGGAACTGATTAGTCAACATAGGATGCTTCCTCCACTCGTCCCTCTTCCTAATGAACTCTCCTGTTGTTCCCAATTGCTTCCCCATTTTTCCAATCTTTTTGTTGATTTCACCCAAATTCTCTCTCCCCCATTCATCTACTCTTTTATGCCACTACTGCCATGGGAAGTTGACCTCCACCATCATACTAACCGCAATCACTATATTCACTATTGTAACCGCTGTCTCCACGACTTCATCATCGTAGTTACTGCTGCTGCCACCACCATAATCGTTGCTCTCATCACCTCCTCTACTCCCTTGCCTACCCACCACCATAGTCGCGACTCCTACATACGAATCCCCTAAAGTTATCTACAACTAAAAGGAAAAGTGAGGGAAAAAATCCTTATTGTTACACTATAAAATAGAATTTAAATACTTAGATAAATCATTGCTATCTTCAAGAAATTAAGTTAAAGAGTATTTAATTGAGAAAGAAAACTTCCCGGTGGCTGGGGGTGAGATATCTGAATTCAATTTTGATAGGATCATGTAAATGGATGAATGTAATTTTATGACGCAGATAACAAAACCTTGGGTCGAATCAGGTAAGTGGGTTGAAATAAAATTTATTTTTTGGTTCAGCCCCACATAACCACGTGGTACATTGAACAATAGTCATATCATTTAATGAAAGCTTCACGAGTTCTTCCGTCAGTAGTGAAAGCTGTTTTGATAATAGAAATAACGTCGTATGCTTTTCTCGACGAATAGATAGACGAAGGACATCCGTAAACTATCTAGCAAACTATATGGGTAGTTTAGGCCCTTTTAGGATCTCAATACTCGCTTCCTCTTTTATGGTCCAATTCGCAGTTTTGAATATCAATTTAGTCAAACATAAAAATATAGCTTAAACAGTATGTAAGACAAGTTCAACTACAATATTTTGAATCTAACACAATTGAATCTAACACAAGTTACTCACATTAAGGTCACTGAATTTTCTTTTTTATTCATCTATTAGTAACTTTGGGAACTAAAAGGCGATTACACTTTTAAAACCAGAATAGCTGCGCACAGAAACAACACAAGAGAACTTATAACTGCTGCAATTTTAAATAAGCATTGATTTTCTTTTCGACATAACGATCCAGCACTAGAAGAGATTAATAGAGCTTGATTGTTCCATATCACTGTCTTGTCTGCTAATATCGCAGGGAAAAAAGCTTCTATAGTATGGAAGGGACGAATAAAAGTCATTTTGTTGCAAAAGTAGTTCCATTGCAGGCATGAGAGGCGGCAAATTAACAATGACAGCATGCGATAAGGACCAATAACTTGCTGCAAAATGTGGAGACATCATTGATGTTCCAAGTCCGAAAAAGGACCCAACTGCTACCCTTCGCATTATGGGCACGTGAGGATGAAATCGGAGAGTGTTCTGCATTATTTGTGGGATCACACTGGGTATGTTGTTGTTGTTGTTGCTCTGCATCATTTGATTTCTCGCAAGTATATTGGATGCAGGAAATCCATCCATTGACATCACCTAGCAAGCAAGTACATTATATTAATTAGCAAACTTGTTATCTACCCCATGTCGTGGCTAATAGAGGAGCTAGAAATTTTAATAAGAGGATTAAAAATAGAAGGCAAGAATACCAAAAACTTGGACTTGAAACTAGAAAAAGACTTGAGAATCAATGATAGATAGACAAGACTCAAGAGATAGATAAACGATATATATATTTCTCACAGAAGAAATTGTGAAATAAAGAGCAAATGGATCCCAACCCTGTATCAAACACTCACTCCTATCTATTGATAGAAAAATCTTCGTCAAATACCGAACTTTGCCTTTTCTTAGGAATTAATCATATCGAAAGCAACTTTTCACTGAATTTAAGACTTTACACACCAAAAATACTAGTATTAAATGAAGGTATTTGTGCTTGGATGACGGCTTAAGATCAGCCTCACGAAAACCTTATATTCCTCTCGAGGAAGTTCTATCACGTGGAAACACGATCTTAAAATGGAGTTTTAACCTTAGCTGGTCAGAAGCAATTTTGTAGATTCATTTGTTGCCCTATTAAAAGCTTATATTTGGGCAACATCTATATATTTTTCATTGTGATCTTTTCGAACCATTTAGCTTTGGCCTCGGTCCTAGACTCCTAGTCATATCGCCCCAAACAACACACATTGAGACACAAAGGATGAGAGGAGTTACCTGGACTTGGTGTTGTAGGGCTTGAATGTATTGTATGGCCTGATCCAGCACTGAGGCTCTACTTGACTGGTCAAAATAGCATATTTAGCCGACATTAGAAAACATTAAAAAGCTGGGGAAAACTTGGGCAAACCAATATTAGAACGGCAAACAAGAGCATTATTCTTTTCAAAGTTTAAATGGAACAAAGGGAATTTCTATTCTTATGCAAATTCTAGTTGAGAAGAAAGCAATGTACTGAAATAAATTATTTCGTGTTTAGAGAAGTTCTAAACAAACAGAATAATTAACGTGAAAGAGTAATATCTACCTTGTTACAGTTGGGAATTAGTTCCTCCAGAACCTTCACCCTTTTCGCAATCCGTTGCCTACGTCTCTGCATGTATATGACACAAATATAAATAGAAGAAGCATATATAATTTCAAGATACATATCTAAATTCATATTCATTAACACAAAATGTACGACGTGATGATATTTAACACTTACCGGTAACCATACTATGCGTAGCCATGCATGACTCATGAGACTGATATAAACCACGTTCAATGTATTTTCTATGTATAATTACTATAGGATTGAGGCCTAAGAACTTATACCTCTACAGTAATTAATTAAGAAAAAAAGAAGGTAATTCAAGAAAGACTGACCTTCTCACTCATTTTATGCATTTTTACAAAACTTGCTTTTGAAGGCTGCAAACCATCTTCAATCCTTCTTGATGTTCTCCCACTTTCATTAGCCTGATAAATAACAAGATTATTATCAAGTTATAACTTATAATATAGTAAAAATACTACTAAGTCCCGCACATAGCGAATATCGAGATATGTTTGAGCTAAGTCAACTAATTGTAGTAGAGGAGGAATCAGGATTTAAAGTTCATAGGTTCAGAATTGTGGTCTGTTTCTGGGTTCTAATTTGATAACTCATACATATAGTTTAGATTTCCTAAGACAACACAGAATTTGGACCAAAGCTTCTGGGTTCGGCGGAACCCGTATCCCACATGCTTGCTTCGCCTCTGAATTGTACAGTTGAGGGCTAAAGCGCTCAATGGGCTCCGTGCCTTTCACAGTTAAGGTGGAGGGTTCAAATCCTATTAGTAGTGTAACCCCTAATATAATTTTAAAAAAACAGTCAGCTAATTGTGATTACATACAAGGATGGGAACAACGAACTCACATCAAATTCAGGCACTAAATGCTCTATATTTTCTCCACATTTTCTCTTTCTCCCTCTTGATTTCCTATCAAGGTTTTCATGACAGGGAATTGACCTAGTCTTCTTGTCTTGCTCTGACTGCTGAGAGTCAATCTTAAGCTCATGATTTTCCATCCCAGGGATACCTAAGGTTAGTAGAGTTGGTGGTGAATTGTCCAAAAATTTTGTCTGAGAGACTTCATCATCTTCGACCTTTAAATGACTCAAAGTTATTTTCCTATAAGAATCTTCATCTTCAGAAGAAGGAAAGCTTAAATTCCACTTTGATATTTGGTCACTCATTTTGTAGAAAAAAAAAAGAGATGGACAAAACTTGGTTTGAATAAATGAAACTATCCCCAATAAAAATTGGATGGAATGAAGAAGTTATAGTATATGGGGGGGGGGGGGGGGGGGGATGGGAGGTGGGAAATCGAAGCCAACCGCCTTCCTGGAAAATAGGAAATCAATGGCGGCTACCCACATGAAAAAATTTAGTAACTATATTTATATCATATCATAATATATTAAAATGTAAATGTGTATTAATTAACAATTGTTAAATGATAATGAGAAGTTTTATTGTGTGTCTCACACAATTTATATTAGTTGTGTGAGGCTCCTTTTTGTCTCATAAATTTGTGGACCCCAATCTTATACTTCCGGGTCCACAAAACTGTGAGACAAAAAAGGAGCCTCACACAACTAGTGTCAGTTGTATGAGACACAAAATAAAATTTTCCAATAATAATAGTGTATGGAATTAATTACACATGTTATATGTTAATTAGATTACTTAACGACCCGATTAAGTTGTTTACCATACAGATCCTCAGAAGAAATTACATTTGAATATACTGTTGTCATTGTTCAATTTTAGTCTTCAGTACACGACATTCAATCATTTTGAGCTCAACTATCAAAATGTTAACCAAGTATCGTATTCATTGTTTTCAGGAATAATTGTATCTTATTTTTTAGTTACCTTTGTTACTCAATTACATATTTCAATAAATATTTTATACAAATTAAGAGAGTAAACATCTATACACATATATTCCAAAAAAAAATGCTACTCCCTCTTTCATTATATATTGCAAAATTACCGAATAGCCACGAAAAAGAAAGAAAGCAAATTTCTTAAGAATTGTAGTCCAAAATAAATCATAAATTTTTGTGTGACCATACGTGATTTCATTAAGGTGTTAAAACTAGCAAAGCAAACATTGAGTGGCGATAAATCAGACAACAGAAGAGAAATATACCAAAAGAGACACAAACATTTAACGTGGTTCGACCAATTGACCTACATCCACGGCGGAGATGGGCAATCCACTAAATAAAAGAGAGTACAAAATATTGAGAGAACAACCTCACGAAAAGGCAAACACAAGTGACACACTAACACTTGTCCCGCAAAGTTCTCCCCTAAACACGACTCTCAAACCCCAGAATACTACATTGTGGATGCCGGTGAATGAGAAGGACGGATCTTCTATCTCTAATCCTTTTCCTACAAGAAAAGGGACTAGCCAAATATGAAAGAATTATATTTTCCTTCTAGGATAAGAAAAACTCAATTATGGTAAATATATTGTCCTTTCTTTCATGAGATAGGAAAATCAATTATGTTAGGAAAATCTGGACAAACACCTAACAATTCTCCCCCTTGGCCTGAATTTTCTGACAAAATAAACTTGGTCCACCTCTTCACATAGCCTTCAACAGGTCGCATCTCCAAATCTCCACCACAAAGTTTATCTCAATGTGCGTAGCACACCGGTTAAATTTCTCAGACAAAAATCACAACTATCGTCAAATATGTTGCGACTAGACCTAAACCCGCCAAGATGAACCTATCTTGATTGCCCTCGAGGCTTCATTCCGCTAATTCTGTATGAATTACAACTAAAGCGATGTTAGTTCATTAACTGTACCAGATGACTTGAAACACACAAATGATATTTAAAAACCAACAATAAGCAATTTTGTACATTTGAAATATATGAATCAACTGGAGCTTTACACTCTGTACTTTGGACTATTGTTACCCATCGTTTTATAATGTATTGTACTGTATTATATTATATTGTTTTATGAATACAACGTTTGGATAGATTGTATACTGTTTACTCTTGTTAAATAACATCTTTTCTGTTTGGTTTGACTAAATCGTACTGTAGTGTAACTGATAAGTTTACTAAAATACCCTCAATTATTTTAAATATTAAATTTATCAAGAATTACGATAATTTAAGACAATTCATTTCTATTAATTTATCACCAACTATGTCTTATAAATAGATTAAGTAATTAAATTCATGCAAATTCTAACAAAATCAATAGAACAATTCAATAATATTAAAAATAATAAAAAGTACACTCAATTCATAATTAGATCATAATAATAATATTAAAAAATAAAATATTAAATAAAGAATAATGACGGTGGAAACGAAGGAAGGCAAATTATGTAAAGAATGACAGAACCTATTCTTGTTGCTTTTGACCGTGGGGTTAGCAAAGAATGGCAGAACCAGTTTTGGAAAAAATGGGACTAAGACAAAATAGGTTATAGATTGGAGATTTGGAGTTTAAAAAAAAGTAAAGGATAAAATAGAATTATAGAGTAATAAATAAGGGTATAATTGAAAAAAAAAATAGAAAACAATCCCACAACACCAAATCGGTTGTTTAAAAAAGTGGGACTTATTGTAGCGGAACAATGAATTAACAATACAATACAATCAATTTTAACTAAACAATCAAAACAAACATTATTTTGAGATAACAATACAATACAATGGATAACAACCATCCAAACAAGCTGTTAATGAGCTATTATAGTGTAGAGTGTAGACGCATTATACACTGGAAGGGGGAAAAAATTGCCAGTTTAAATTTATCCCATAATTATTTTTACGAATAGTTACCAATTTAGCTAGGTACTGGTTTTCCCCCTTAAACGTTTAATGTACAGTTCTAAGTCTTCCATTTTATTTTTGTTTTTATTTGTATTTTTCACTCCCGTCATTTTTTTTTTTTTTTTTTTTTTTTTTTTTTTTTTTTTTAAGAAAAGGAGAGACCATCTATTAATGTATCCCTCTTTTGCATGAAAATTTCTGCATCCAATCCCTTCTTCCTTTCTAAAACTTCAATATATGGAGTCTCTGTTCATTTCTTTCCTCAATGACTTTACCCTCACTTCAACACAATATACTAATCTCAATCCATAGTCAAAATACGCGTTTCTCCAAAACAGCGTAGACTCTTCAAGCAACTTTGTTTGATACAATCCTAGAAATAGACAACCATAAATGTCAGAAGAACATAATTCCTATTTATGAAAGCCATCTATGGTGAGTCTTCCACAACATTCAGTGTCAAATACAAGGACAAAAAAGGAAAAAGTGAACTATTGAACAATATATTACTGTGTAGCAATACTATGTTTAAATTAAAAAGTAGCTGTGTTAAAATAGTAGGGAAAGAGGACGGTACATAGAGGAGCAACACAAGAATTAAAAACGCCACAAATTTCTAACTCAGCTTATTTAAATAATGGATATTTTAATTCATTCCAAAGTAATATCACTTCGATTATGTATTACTGTATAAGCTAGTGGCTATAATAATTGTTCAAAATATAAAAAACTGTGTTAATCCCTTAGACTAGTAAATACTCAATTTTAAGTCGTTAGAGATGTTAACTCGCTAGCAATATTTTAAATTTAGGTAACTTTAATTTGAAAACAAAAATGTAACAATAACAAACAGATAAGAAACTAAACATTACATTATTAGAATTCGATGACAGCTACAAGGATAAATAATAAACCATGGAAATAGAAAATTTACTAATTTTTCATAATTCAAAAAGAAATGAGAAATAAAATAAAAATGGAAAATATTCAAAAAGTGAAAAATAATGATTCACATCTAACGTCCATTGTTTTCCGTGGAAATATATGAAACAAAATATTGAAGCCAACTTTTCTCGAGAGTTCTCTTTTTCTTCAACATTCTTTTCATCTTCAACCACGCACAACACTGACGCCACCACCAACAGCGGCAACCGAAACACTCTTTCAGATTTCTCAAATCTTCAAACTTTAAATCGAGACATGGAGTAAATCTCGAACTATGGAGTGAAAAAAATCATGGTGTGATTCTTGTGTCGGAATATGCCCTTGTAGAAGTCAAGAAAACTTTTCAGACATTTATGGAGGTAATTACAAGTCCGTTATAAAATTAAGACTAGAAAATATTTCAAACATGAGGTGTCCCGACCCAAAATCAACTGTCGTGATGGCACCTATCATGGAACTAGGTCAGCCTCAACTCAACAACCCAACACAGTAAATATAACTTAAAATAATGACGGAAGCAGATAACATTATAGAAACTCTTTTGAAACATAATAAATCTCAAAGTTTGATACAATCCAGCCCAAAACCGGGGTATCAGTGAGTACATGAGCGTCTATTCGGAATACAATCCACTACAAGGTCTAAAGAAAACAACTGAAAGTACATCAAATGATAAAGAAGAGAGTCAAGGCCCGCGAACGCTGTGTAGCTACCTTGATATTCTCCAAACTCTGGGGTCTCAATCAGCAACCGCCGCCGTGAACAGAGTTGCCTAGATCTGCACACGAGGTGCACGGAGTAACGTGAGTACACCAACTCAGTAAGTAACAAGTCCAAACTTTGGACTAAAAGGTAGTGACGAACTCAACCGCAAAAGATATAATAGAAATATATTTGCACAAACTTAGGCATGCTTTCAAGTTAAATAGACAGCTCAAAGCAATAAAGTAAATACAAATCTGAACAATGTAAGGTATACAACTCAGCTATCTCTACATGCCATTGCACAGACTGTATAAAATGCACCATGTGCTCCCACTCTCAAGTGCTCAACCACTCGGTACTGTATATGGCCATCCGGCCCAGGGAAATCCATTTCAGAACATATACAACACTGACTATAAGTCACCCAGTACCGAGGAAAAAGGGCAATCCAACCCTGTGGAGAAATCCATCTCCAGGTATCAAGTACTTCTAACAAATCCATGTCCAGGGAAATACATCCCTCAATAATATCATCCGCGCTCACTGGAGGTGTGTTACAGACTCTGAAGGGGCTCCTGCAGCCCAAGCGCTATCATAATCATCAATATAACCGCTGCGATGTGCAGCCCAATCCCATAACTGTCACTCATAACCAGGCTCTCGGCCTCACTCAGTAATCAATCTCTCCAGTCTCACCCACGGGCTCACAATGTCAGGAATATAAACCCAAAACAATGATATGATGAATCAATAA